GTTTGGGTCACAAGTAGAGTCTTGAGACATAATAAGTGAGAAAGAGAGAGGGAGTGGACAAGAGAGACGAAGAAAAGAAAAGACACAAGACAGCAGAATATACTTATTATCTGGGGACATGTTACAACAAAACCATGTGAAGCTCAGCACAGCTGTATTACACAGTAACAGAGATTAAAAAAATAAAATAGAATGTATGAATATCACCCAGTGTTGTTTCAGTACATATCAAGGAGTAACATGTTTCCACAGTCAAGATTTTACACGATTTAACATTAATTTCTTATGATAAAAAGTGTATTTAGAATTATACAACAGAACTGTATTTAATATAAATTATACTGTAGAACGGTTTAGAAAAAGTACTGTGAAATTACAGCAATTAGTTCCAAAATATAGTGGAAATTCACACCTTTGAGTGCAGTGAACAGCTCAGTGTTTATATAAGCACAGACTGTGAAGCGATCAGGCTTGTTTTGAGACAGTCAGAGAGACAAAAATCTACCTCTGTGATCAGAGAGTAACATTCTGTCCTGTTGTAAATAGGCAGCCCAATTTTGTGCGAGGGACCTGAATTGGGTCTATCATTAGGACCACTGGTCATGACTCACTGAAAGAAATAGATAGCTAAAGATATTAAGGTCTAGACAGACATTGTTATCTGAATAGCTGATGTAAGACACACAATATGAGCAAGGCTATTTAAACATTTTTAGACAAAGTCCAAGAGAGAATGAAAGTGCTGTGTTGCAATCGGATCAAAAGATGTATTGAAAAGATTTAATTCAATGAACAGATTTGTTATAAATCAGACTTCGCTATATGTCTCGCTTGAACTCTCATAAATAGTTTTAATGAATAACAACTTAAAGAGGTCTGTTGCACAAATCATGGCTTAGATATCTTGGAATATAGCAGTTTTATTATGACTTTTATGTCACACACACAATTATTTGTGACATTTTAAAGTGAAAATGTATTTCAATGTAAAACCTACACCATTTGTCCCAGTGCAGTCACCTCCATCATATGAAGGAATGGACAGGGCAATCTTCAAAAATTCACCTGTCGTGTTCCACAGAAGAAAAGAAATTCAGGTTTGAAATTATATGAGGGTGAGCAAATGATGAAAGAATTTCATTTTCGTATTAACTGTTTCTTTAAGAATTAGTTCACAGCCTTTAATTCATTAGCAAACTATGTTTTTTTCCAATGACAACAACAGTTTACAGCTTTTTAAAATTGCAGGTGGATTCAGTATGCATCTGAAGACAATTTATACATCAGTTCAGAATAAACAAAAGGATTGTCATCACAGCCTCAAGGACGTGAGCAGGTTTGTTTACTACAGCTTTCGCATTTACCTAAGGGGGTATAATTGAACACAAGCTATTTCATAATTAAAGCTATTTTTATTAAACCCTTGAAACACTCCAACTTGCATAAACGCATGGAATCTAAAGGGAAATGACCAGTGGGGATTTATATCTAGTAATTATCTCTTACCTAAAGGATACTGTTTCACATCACGTGACCGTTTAAATTCAAGGTCCAATGTGTTTTTCTGACCATAACGCTTGATGATGCTGTTAATGAAAACAAACCAGTCCCACAAGTGATTATCAAACAGCAAGTTGTAGCCTGAAGGCAAATCAAGTTTATTCAGGAAAACGACCCTTTCTATAGCTTTGAAAACAGTGCTCCCAAAGGTCAAATGGAAGGAACCAGGAGGAATGGAAAATTGTGATCATCCTATTCAGGGGTCTCTCAGAGTCCACTTACCCACAGTCATTATTGCAAACCTGCACACCATCTACCAAGAAATAACAACAAACACAAGCACATTACTCAGGGTAATCCAGTTCATTTTGGGAGCAAGCAAATTGCTTGGTATATGCATTTATGCCTGTGTGTGTTGGTTTGTTTGTGCTACATCCTGTTCTTTAGTTGGTTTTTACATTTACTTGCAGGGTAGCTTGTTTCCACATGACGCATTACTTTATTCGCATGGTGCATTAACACATTTAGTACAACAGCACTACAGTCACAGTTTAATATTTAGGACACAGAAGACTGTTGAAAATATCCTCAGAATTAATGCGTTTTATATAAGAGATTAGAAGGCAGGATCTGTGTTGTTTCTTCGGAACGATGAGTCAGAACATGCATTACTTCAGTAAACACTTCTGTCTTTTCTGCCTCTCTCTATCTATCATTTTCTCTTTGAACGCTGAAGATGCGGTACCTGCTATAAAATACGATGTGTGGGCGTTTCGGTTTCTACAGTTCAGGATTTAGTCAATTTTGCAGAATGGGATTTTTGTTAATACCCATGTAAAGTGCAGGCTGTTCCCTTAATTGACTATGGCATGATTAAAAAAATGAAAACAACACTGCCGGCATGGTAACAGCTCATAATGAAGTTGTTTACCCAATAATAAGTTGATTCAGGTTACTTTTCCATTATTTAGCCATGAACTGGATGCTGCTGCTTATTAAAAATATTACATATTAAAAATTAAATGGATTTTAGGTGGCACAAAATCTACTGAACACTGTCTGTTTTAAAATCAGGTTTAAATAACTATCAGACTACTTTGATTGCTATGGGAAAGTGTGTGTCGCCAAGAAACCATAATCATTATACAAAGATGAGAAAGATTGACGGTTTGGATAGTGACTCTAATGTCACAATTTTCGAAAGCCATCTCCAATTTTAGGTAGCAATAACTCGACAAATAGAGACAAGAAATCAAATGCAGCAAAAGTGTGACAGGCTGTTTTGATAATGCTACTCAATTCAGCCCCAAAGCCATTTTACATTTTAATGTGTTTAGATTGAAATGAGGGAGACCGAGTCAACACAGGTAAACACAGATGTGGGGAATGAATCTCTAATTTAAGGAGCAGATTTAAGGCGGCAGCATTCATTAATACATTAAAAAACAATACAAAAACAGAGCTGTTCGCATACCACCTAGCTTCATCGTCATCATCACTGCGATTGCCCTAATCACTATTGTGTGCTTGCTGTTGGTCAGAAAGTGAAGTATTTAGGCGGTGTTTAGCGTTTGTGAGGTCCTTGTGTGGGCGACAACGCTGATTGAGGCTGAATGCTCCTTCACTGCTGTTTGTAACAGCGCGGTGGGAGGCGAAATGTCTCAAAATGTCAACTTTAAAATTCCCAGGGAATCTGACACCCACTGCGGTCTGTAATCCAGGTTATTACCAGCCTTCACTCCCCCATATGTGAATAATTTTCTCTTTTGGCATCAGTACAAATGAGTGGAATTGAATACAAAGCTAAATAAAATATTGCAGTGCAGAAGGGCAGAGAGGACGGTCAAATCGTAAATATGATACATCACCACTGTGTGCATTGTAAATTCTGCTGCAATATGCTACTTTACCAGTAGCATTTCAGATCAAGTTGGCTTTAAAAATGCAGGGAAGTTTTCAGCGTTAACTGATATAGCCTTGATAATCTTGTGACATGTATTAATGGTAATTTCAAAATCACGTCCCCCTACTTAACACTTAATGTATTTTGTTTGCATACACATGCAAGATTAAATAAACAAAATGGATTTTCTTTCTTGTCACATCAAGGCACAAAAGGCAGTGTGACTTATCTACCAGTCAGTGCTTCACTTTTTTTTCTTGGATAAAGCTTCACCCACTTCACTATTTGTTCTCGGGTTACATCAAATAAATGAAAAACTTTTCTTCTGTAGCTACAGAGACCCACGGACACCCACTGTTTGTTTCCTGACTGTATGATGCAAACAAATCTGGCAAGCCATACCCAAAGATCAGCAGCTTCAATCAAATTGGCTGGAAATTGGAGACTACCCGTCTGGAAGTGAAGTTATGTTTACAAGGCATCGGACTGATGCAATAAGCAGGTTTTAAGGGAAAACTAATCACTGAATTTAACAAGGCACGACAAGCATGCTATATATCTCAAATATTTCAGCCCCTGCTGGCAGATGCTAGAAGCACATCATTTGAAACCAAACAGCATCTTTCTCTATTGGTGGCCATTCAAATTGATTTGTATTCTGACTTCACATTTTTACTGAATTAACATTTGTTGATCTCACCGTGTTTGAGATTTGTGTGTTGAGTTATATGCATCTCATTGCGACTCTGGGGTTTAACATATTTAATATATCAGGCAAATATGTTTGCCTCTAATTTTAAGAGGGGATTATGCCATGTCATATAGTGGGCACATAGTGATGAAAGAGTAGCTCCTAACATTGCTAAATACCAAAAAAAATATTTAACTGCCTTGACAAGAATTTGTGAGTTTATTAAATGAACAAAACTTTTTTTTTTCAGTTACTATACTGAAAGCAATTTTCACCCAGAATTTGCTAGTAAATTTCACAAATAATTACAAAGAAACAAAGCCACGTGTGTGGATATACAGTTTACCAAACTATAATTTTTCGCTATAGTTATGAATAAGCTAAATGAACTATTAATACAGTATGCTCTAATTGGGAATATATCTTAACTCACACAGTAGCAGGTTTGGCCTGTTTTAATACATCAAGCCCTGGATTTGGTGGCTTAGATGGTTTCACTATTATTGCACCCAACAATTATCCTGCTAACTGAAACCCGAAGCACATCTGTACCCCTTCACCAGCACTTATCACGCTCTCGGGGTAAACATATCGGCCACACTTTCTGAAATCACGCTTGGTCAGGAAAACGCATGCAGAGACGCATCAGACAGCTTCAAGGACGAATCGAGGTGAGGCCGAGCAAACGGGGGCTTAATCGTTCAATCATATCGTGCCACTAAAAGCATTGCACCGCATCCTATATACAGAACCTTCCATGCATGTCCCATTTGTATGCGACAAGTCATTTGCATCAAGGCAAGGTGCTTTAAATAAACTCATCCCCCAGCGCTGTGATTACAGAAGCTTATAACGGGAATATGTAGCAGGACACCCGCCCACGACAGCCACACTCGTTAAAAATTGATCGCTCAGAACATGGGACGCTTCAGATGGGAGCTCTCCATGTGATTCAGTGAGTGCCTTTATCAGCGGCAGCTGCAGTTCCCCTCACAGACACTCACACTGCCCCTCTGAGGACGAGAAACAAGGACGTCCTTCTTTTGCCTGGAAACCAGAGATGTTAGGAACGAACAGTTAAAGCCTCGCTGTATCAGTACTACTCAACTTTAATTTCTGAGGAGTTAATCAGCTTGTCGAGACATTTGAAATCGCCGTGCAGGTAATTATGATGTTTATGTGAGTGTGTGTGGATGGAACGCGAGCGTTTGGCTTTTGCTCTATGTGGGATGGAGCGGGAGCTGTCCGCCAGCAATGGTGCTGAAATCAGCCTCAATGAACGAGGAAGTGATTTTGTCTTCGGCACGCATCGGGAACGGGAGTAAATACTAAATCGGGTCGTTTTAACGCATTTATAGGCGTAAGAAGATACTAGGAGCACAGTAGCGTACGATATTCACCCGGACTCATTCATCAGCCAACGTTTCGGTGCGTTCGGACTATAAGCGTGTGGGTTTGATTCGGATGGATGAGGGAAAGTTTACACACAAATTAAGGAATCCAGTCATGCATTGTATTGTAATATCCTTTATTCTAAGATTTACATTCTTGAACTCTAACAATCATCATAATTCGTCTTTTTCTCAAATGTTATTTGATATTTAGGTTGCAATGTAATGTTGCCATTCCTCACGAGAAGAGCAAACGCTCCCTGAAGATTTACTTCAAATGTACACGATGTATGCTTGTCCCAGAGCTTGTTATTAGCGCTATTTTTTCCTTGTGAAGGTTAAGTTGCATGCAGGCACCGATAAGCCACTAACGGGAGCCCATCGTAATTTTACAACTCTGCACTTTGTGTGAACTGTATGCGAGGTATACTGACCTTTACTGCCCTTCATATGTCGCATCTTTTGAAATGATCGGCTGGATAGTATAGTGTATGCCATGCAGTCATTATTATTATAGTCTTTAGTAATGTTTTATCATACAACCTAAAATACCTTCATCTGTGACACCTATAATACATGGTTTTGATCCAGTCAAACACATTATTTAATATAACAAAATCACACACATACTCAAATGAAAATGTTAAGGGTCAAGTCAGGTAGAAATAGCCCCTTAGGGAAAAAACTGCTCACATCCACATTAAAATTTTTTTTAAGGTTAATAGCTGTTTATACAAACTAAGTTTTTGCTATTAAGTAATTGTCTGTTTCACATTGTAGACCTGGCGACAAGGGACTACTTGAAAAGCTCAACCTGAATGTAATATTTGGTTGAAGAAGGCAGGAATAAAAAGCCATCATCATGAATTTTGTTATGAAGCAAGCATTGGGAGGTAAGTCTCAGATTGTCCCGTTTCTCCAAACATGACATACACACAGAATAGTCTCAGAGCAGAAACTATACACTCATGCAATAAACTTGCGCAGAAATACCATTATGCACAATCTGCTTATATATTACCTTTCTCTTGGCTTGTAAGGCATGCACTGCTCTTTATTTTCATGCACATGGAAAATGAACCAAGTGTTGCTTTTTTATCTTTGGAGTAGTGTTTTCTTATCTGTCTTAGTCTTGGATAGCTTATCTTTTAAGTCAAACAATGAGGTTTAAGATAATATTGTGATGGATTAGAAAGCACTTGATCTGTTGGACTGGTAGATAGAGGTCGTGAGTCTTTGCGCATTTCAAAATCTGCCGCAGTTCCCTGTTGTTTTCATGACAAAAGGGTTTGTTTTCTAGTCGGAAGACCATTCAGATGTTTTTCTCTATTGTATTTACTATAACTTTTAAATGATCCTTTTGTTCATTATTATTTTTTCCATTTTAATTATTTTTGAAAGGCACATTTTATATCCAGACACACCAGAATTACTGACTATTGACAATGTGCTCTGCCGAGCTTAATCAAAATAATAATAATTCCATAAATATTGGCATAAATAAATATGTCCAAACAGAACTGCATTTTAATGTGGTTCATTCATCTCCTTTGCATTCGTAATGAGGATTTTATCTATCTCACTCTGTGCGGACTTCCGCTTGTCAGAGCACTTAGCCCCATCAAGACTGAGATTGACAGTCCAGTCCCGAGGGATGTCACAAGAGCAGGACTGCGGCAGTTGATTAGCAGGGATGTGCTATAAAAAGGTGGCGTACGACCCGTTTCATTAACCAGCTGCTGGGTAAAACAGCCCATGAGGGTCCTGCCCTATAGTCCACTTGCTCCATCGGTAAAGAAAATGAGTGAAATCCACTGAGCTGTTCGGAAAGGGATTTCACCCTTGAGAAGCGAGAGTGGTCCCCAGCTTCATGTTTACTACCAACTTTCCTCTGTCGTCCTATCATGTCCTTTTCTAAGAGTAGCAGCGCATATCTAAGATAAATTGACCTGGCTTCAGATGTTTTTGGCTTATTATGTTTTAAAGATTTCAAGTCGCCTACAACTAGATTTGCATTTCCTGCAAGAATTACCAGTGCTTGCAAGGCAGCAAGAGAATAAGTTTCAGGTAAGCTTAGTTTCAGGCTTCGGTTCTGCGCAAATGATGATGACTCTCATGGTGCGTCTTGTTTTCAGTTGGCTGCACACAAGAATCAGCTATAAATGGTTAAAGTGTCCATATTATGCAAGTTCATAAATTTATTTTTGGGGTCTGCTAGAATACATTTACATGATTTAAAGTTCAAAAACACATTGTTTTTCTCATACTAAACACCCTCTGCCTGCCCGAAAAACCTGTGCCTTTAAAACTCATCTTTCTAAAAAGCCCAGACTGTTCTGACTGGTCAGCTGGCCCAGTCTGTTGTGATTGGTCAGCCACTTATGTATGTCAGAAATGTAACGCCCCTTATCATATTTGGGTTTCAGTTCCCGAGGCTTCATGAACAGTTGTAAACGCTTCATTTCATAATTGATGAATTTTGCAATATTGAATCAACTGTGAACCGACTTGAGCTGAATAATGGCATTATTGTATATAGCTAAATTAAGCTTGTTTCATTAATACATTTTATACAGTTATTGAACTGAACTGAATCAACAATTAACTGAGCTGAGTTGAATAATGACACTGTAGTCTTTTTAGGGCAGCATTTGAATTTCTCACATATTTCATAAGGTCTGCTTCACTGATTCTGTTATTTAGCTGCTTTGAAACAATCTGTATTGTATAAAAGTGATATAAATAAACAAACCTCTACATTGCGAGTAAATCACTGGCATATGCGACTATGATTATGTCTAATATTAGCCAATGGCTAATAAAATCTTAGATTTTACTCGCCAGTGTGTGAGTTGGAGGCTGAGTATAAGTTTAGCACAGATATATTTTAATTCGCCAAACACTCTGACTGAGCGCTTCAGAGTTTCACTCTCCGTCAAGTGATCTGTGATATTTTTCAGTTCATCTCAATGGATGTGCAGCGCACCTGTGTTTGTGTATTTGGCGTACCGTAAGCTCTAGTGTGAAGGCGCACGCCTCGCTGTCACATTCTCTCACACGTGCAAAGTGTCTTACATAACATGCAGAATTGATGCGCTACATGTAAACGATATTCTTTGTGGTATTGTCCTGTCAAAATAACAGTGTCAAAATAACAAATATTAGCCAATGGCTAATAAAATCTTAGATTTTACTCGCCAGTGTGTGAGTTGGAGGCTGAGTATAAGTTTAGCACAGATATATTTTAATTCGCCAAACACTCTGACTGAGCGCTTCAGAGTTTCACTCTCCGTCAAGTGATCTGTGATATTTTTCAGTTCATCTCAATGGATGTGCAGCGCACCTGTGTTTGTGTATTTGGCGTACCGTAAACTCTAGTGTGAAGGCGCACGACTCGCTGTCACATTCTCTCACACGTGCAAAGTGTCTTACATAACATGCAGAATTGATGCGCTACATGTAAACGATATTCTTTGTGGTATTGTCCTGTCAAAATAACAGTGTCAAAATAACAGAGTTCCTTTGGAATTCTTCAGCTTTTAAGAACTGCTGGGTTTTTCGGTATAGTGGGCGGAACTAATGCGCAAACGACAATCTCATTGGCTGGTGCTCACCTATTACCGTCCCTGTTTTGATTTCAGCAAATCAGAGCGAATGCACACAACCTGATTAATATTCATGAATCCAGCAGTTTGTTAATCCTTGGTGCGTTTTGTATTGTTCTTATTAGTAGAATTCGTATAATAATAATAATAATAATAATAATATGAATAAAAATAATAATATGAATAATATTATCAGTATCAATATAAGTATTATTGTTAGTTTTTTCCCAATTTTTTACAGGAACACTGAATGACCAAAAAAGCACCACCACCAGTCCTAAGTTCAGTTAAAATTACTAATGTGCATTCATACATGGTTACCAAGTTTTAATTCTTATTACTAAACTTCTATTATTAAATAATACTTGATTACCATATTATAATGCTTGACTGCTTGAATGACTGATGTTAATGACTGATGAGTGTACTTTCAGATATTTAAAAAGTTGTGCCATTTTACAAACATTATAT